CTCCCCTGGCAGAGCTTGAGTCTGTGCCCTCTTGTCCTGCTGCTGGTTGCCTGGGAGAAGAGACCCACCCCCACCTGACTCCAACCTCCTGTCAGGGAGTTGTAGAGGGTGATAAGGTCACTTCTGAGTCTCCTCCAGGCTAAACACCCCCAGCTCCCTCAGCCTCTCCTCATGGCATTTGTGCTTGAGTCCCTTCACCAGCCTCGTTGCTCTTCTCTGGACCTGCTCCAGCACCTCAATATCCTTCCGGAACTGAGTGGCCCAGAACATGTTAAAGCAGAGTTTTGTAACTTTGTAACTTGATTTGGAAGAGTAAAGAAAAATAAATACGGAATGGGTTTAATATTCAGTTAAACAAAGCAGTTATAACTGTATTGCATTTACATCAAATAAAAATAGGTCTCTACTATCTCTGCAGTTCCTTTGAAATACTGTGTCACATGCAGTAGTCTTGAATGCTGCCCAAACTTTGATCTGCTGAAATTTCAGTTAAACACTGGACTAGGGTTGAAAAAATAACTTGTCTAACAGTAAGCTACCACTATGTATCCATGTTGTCCTCTGTCTGGTCTCTCCTGTATTGTCACAGGACCTTTCCCAGAGCATCCTCATGTGCCTGCTGTAATCTGCAGAATTTTGAGCAGCTCTTAAACACACAAGTACAAGGTGCTTTTTATATAAAATAACTTATGTGTTTTACTATGAGAATTTGCTGGGCCCATTCTGACTAGTTTATTTTCCCTGGACTTAACCATCCTAACGAAGTACTGCTGGTTGTTTAATGAAGTCTAGTTTTTCCTTTGTTTTAGTTGGTTAATTCAGCAATTAGTACAGTACCTTGGTACAGCAAACTGTTCATAGGATAACAAATAGGATCAGATCATGCAAATGTCTACGTCTGGGCTCTGGTAACAAGTTTGAAATTGCATTACTGTATTTTGCCTTCTTAGAATTCCTTCTCCAGATGGTAGTGTTTGATTTCCTTTTGAATAATCTACAATATGAAAATGTAGTTGTATAGTCAATACTGTTGAGGTAAACATAAGTGGGATGATAGTGTCAGCTTTAACTGAGGAATTCATTGTTGTTTCATATACTCAATGTGCTATGTAGATAATGTTTTTGAGGAAAAAAATATATCATTAAACATTATCCAAAATGGGGAATAATAGTGCAGCAAAAGTTAAAGAAATGTTGATTGGTGTTTTTCTTGGAATCTGGGCAGTGCAGCATAGTTTTGTTTGAAGTGCTGGCTACTAGTGTTTAGCCAGGGCTGAATGTGTTAAGCACTGATAATTAAGGCAAGGTCTATTACTGCTTGCCAATTATGAAAATGTAAAATCTGACATTTGAAGGAATAGCTATTAAGTATACCAACTTCAGGCAAAGGCTTATTTTATTGCTGTCCCTCCTGCTCAACAGAGAGACAAACAGTACTGGGTTCCTGGTCTTTTTCTGTGGACAGTAGAAAGAGAAAAGGGCAGTTGGCTTGTCAGTTCTAAGCATAACCTTTGTGAATTCTCTTCATCATTTTGGAAGATGCCTTGATTGTGGAGACTAAAATGATCTAGCAACTTAAAATCGACTACTTTAATATATGCTGAGTGCATATATATAAATACAATGGGGAAGATAACTTCTTTCAGCCTCCTTTGTTCAGAACCATGATTCAGGTGTCTCCTTGTGTTTGATGGTGTTGCTCTAAAATTTGTTGCCCTAGTGCTTTTAGCCTGGATGTGAGTCTCTTTGCTTTCATTGTTTTGAGAAACTGTGCTCTTTCAACAGTGTGAAGCTGATTGCATGTAGATTGGATTTAGATGGATGCACATTTGGGAAATAGTTTGCTTCCACTGACAGTTATTAATGAATGATCTGTAACCAAACAGGGACTATGGTTTTATGGGGGATATACAATTTGAATGTTCTCTGTTCAAATCTATATTTTCCTCAGTTTGTATTCATGTGATGTGTATGTTTTAATCAGTAGAATACAGTTCCCTGTTTTTAAAAAGTGCTGTTTTCTTTTTCTGAAGGACTTATATCAGGTGATTGAACTTTGATCTTAGTTTCTGTTCACCTTAAAATGCTGGGCTGAAAACTGGCTGTTCAGAAACAGACTTAATGCATCTGTCTCAAGGGCAATAGCACATACATCAGATGGAGGGGTGAATAATAGAGCAGGTATGACCTGACAGGTTTCAGTGTTCAATTTCAATGTACTCCTGTCAGAGACACAGCTGACAGAGGTGGAGTGGAGCCAAAACCAAAATGTTACAACAGATTTTATGTCACTTCTCAGACAGAAGACTATATTTATTAAAAGTAATTGTCCCATGAATATCTGCTACACTTGTATTTAGATGCGTTCACCCAATGGCTTCTTAGATGCTTGCAAAGCCTCAGATATTTTTCTTATAGATGCATTTCCTGCTGTTGGCTGAATTCCATCATTGCTCTGTCCTTCAGGAAGTTTTTTTTTCAGCTTTTGTCACTCTCCTATCATAATTCATTGATAAAGTATGAAGTATCCTTAAGAAGGTGTAAGAATGCAAAAGCCCCTGTCAGTGAGCAAAGCAGAAACCTCTGGATGTGAACTGGGGAGGTTGGATTCTAACTTTTGCTGAAATTTTGGCAGTAATTTTAGAGTTTGTTTCTTGTGCAACATGGTTACGTCCAGAGCCCCGGCCATGCTGCTTGGGATGTAAAAGACAGCCTTGTTTTTAGTGGTTGTGTGACATAACACTTAAGTACTAACTTGAACTAGCATTTTAAAAACAAATGATAGGTTTGTGAAGAAATGAAGCCTTGGTTATATCCAGAAATAAACTCAGCTGTTTAGCAACTATGCCCATGATGGCAATTGGACTCAGAGGTCAGACTGACTGGAAAAAAAATCAAATCCTTTTACAGTATCCTAAAGAGAAAATTGTCAACAGCCAATTGTGAGTGAATACAGATGTTGTTTACAGGATTTATGGTATGGTGATGGCAACACATGATCAAGATGCTGTTATGTAGAGTTCATGGGATATAGCAAACAGCTTGAAGTAAATAGGAGTGAATGTGACACTGGAGGTTTTAGAAAATAAACTTTCTGTGAGTAGTTTAAATAAGTTGATACGTTCCATTTGTGGGAGAAAAGTAAACCACAAGTTTTCTTGTATTAATGCTAATGTTTTAAATAGCATGAATTGCATGAGTAGGATACACTAGAAACATTTGTTAGAATTTTCATGAGCTTTTCTGCATCCCGAACTGGATTCAGGGGGAAAAGTTCTGATTAACTAAGTAAATTTAAACACAAAACTAGACATCAACACTAAATTATGTACTCTGTAGCTATGGTTTTCAAGGTCTCTTCAGAATGGTACTTCATGTAAAAACTATTTTACTTTCCATTGTGGGTCTTTGCTCTAGAATTAATTCTTGTCTTCTATTATTCCACATTAATGTTGCCAGGGAATAGGAGAGTTAAGTAAGATTCTCAGACCACCAGCAGCATTGTCAAAGAGGTCGCAGCAAGCCTTTTCCTTCTCTTCAAACCTTTGTAATGCCCTTGGAGACAGTAAAAACCAGGTCACGTGCAGTATGCCCTGACATATCCTCTGTGGTATAAGAGTGTCCTTTCCTGCTCGTGGTTTCCGGTGTGCCGATCATTCTCTTTTTCCTTGCTGCTGCTTATGGCAAAGGGATCTGCAGCCTTTGTTGGTTGTGAGAGGGTGTGGAGCTTCTTTTTCCTTCAGGTGTGGGAAAAGAACAATGTGGGACATTCTTCCTAGCTTACAGACTCCTAGAGTTTGCTGCTTGGCAGGCTCATTTCATTTATGCTGAGAGAGGGAAGTTATGCCTTGCTGGTATGAGATTAGTTTTCTACAAATTTTGGACTTAAACATGTCAGTTTAGGATGTGAATGAGTTTTGGAGGGGAGTAAGAAACAGCCAGGAGAAGCAAGCCTTGCAAAATGTGTGGACTCTATTCTTATTAGGGTAAAGACTATAAAAGTAGGTTTAAAAGAAAAAAAACCAAACCAACAAAAAGGTTCCAATTTAAAATGGTGCCGTTAGCCATTCAGAGTGTGCCAATCTTGGCAACTTTCCTGGTTAGCTCAGTGAGTATTACGTGCAATCAAATACTCCTTTTTAATTGGGAGCTTATTTAGGTGCATAACTTGAGGAGCCTAAGGTTTGAATGTGCTGGCCTTTGCATCTGTGTCACTTGTACATCAAAATTCTCCTGAAACAATTTTCCTGTCACATTCTTTTAGATAGCAAAGTTGGTGTTCCTTAAGAGGCAGAGCTGTAATGTTACAGCACCACAGCTCATTCTCTCAAAGGCTTAAAGTATGATAAATCAATTGTGACCAAATATATTTGTGGGTGATGTAAAAACCATATGCCCAGCCACACAAAAAGAGTGAACACATTCATTTGTCTCAAATGTCAAGAGATTGGGTTTCTGCTCACATGCCTCAACACGTGGCCATTGCAGAAGTTCAAGTACTTGTACACCAAATCAGGTACAGACAAGCATCCATTAGTCATATGATCCACTGCATGCACGTACACATATGTATATATGTATGTGTGTTTGTGTCCTTACATGTTTGCACGTATTTGTGTACCTGCACATTCCTAGTGTAGTCTTATCCTTCTTGCACTTCTCATTTGATCATGAGCTAGACTTTCTTCTTGCTTCACAAATTAGGGGAGCTGGGGAAAGAGCCACAGGGAGCAGTGTGTGAACCATCTAAAAAATTGTTCTTTCCTTAAATCTTCTCCATACTCAAGTCTGAGGATGTCCTCTCTAGGCAACACATGGGTTGGAAAAAGGCTGGAAGAATCTTCTCCTGACAGGCTGGCTCAGGCCTGCAGGTGCTAGCTCCTTTCAAACTGAATAATAAGAATAAACATAAACTGAAATCTGTATAGTGAATCCTGTTGGTTTTCTATGTTTGCATACCAAGTTTTTTTGTTTAATTTTAATTTTGTTTTGTTTTGTTACAGGAAATACTGGCTAAGATCCCACAATGGAAGACGGGAAGCCCGTCTGGGCTCCACACCCGACTGATGGGTTTCAGATGGGCATGATTGTGGACATTGGCCCTGACAACTTAACTATTGAGCCTTTGAATCAGAAAGGCAAGGTAAGTGTCTCACAAACAAAGCAACAGAGAGAAAACATCCCCAAACCGACTTTACCTGCAGGTCAGATCTTTGCCAATATCCACAATTCTATCTACACAGTCCGAAGGAGTGGAAAATCAGTTTTCTGTTCTAAGTTTAGCTAAGCATCTGTGCTTACCTTCAGCTTGCATTGCAAATGGACCCTCTCACTGATAAGAAGTGCATACTTTCTGTCAAATATCTGCATGTGTGTTGAGTACATGCTCATGAAAGAGGTTTGAATCTCCATAGCCATTTGATTCAATATTGTATGCTTTGTTTTTCTAAATTAGAGCCTGATAAATACCCTACTGTTGAGATTAGCTTCTCTATTTTCCCTTACATGCATAGAAAGGGTTCTACAGGGATGTGCTAGGCTCTGGCTAAGATTAGACAGCTGCTTTTAGACTGATGAAGGCTGAGAGATTAATCCTCTTAACTCCAGTACATTGAGAAGTAATATGATGTCAAACAAAGGTCCTGTGGAATTGCTACATCAAATTAAAGTCAAAATAAATGTAACTTTTAAAATGAAGACCTAATTAATCCTGATGAGTGTATTCCAACTGCTTCATTTATCATGACATCTTTCAGATTCAGTGTGTTGTAATTAAATGTCAGCTTTTACAGGAAGCACCTTGTAGCTATCAATTATCCTAATTCAAATGGGCAGCATCCTGGGTTTTACTAGCTGGAATAAGATTAGACACTGGTTTAAAAGTGGTGATTTTGGTCTTTGTGAATATGCTTTATGTGCCCTTTCTAATAGTTTTGTCCTTTCTGTATCTTCAACTATGTAAAAACAGACAAAAATTACTTTTGTAACTTTTTATTCCATGTCTGCAGTAGTAGAGAATGCCTTGTCACAGGTCAAAAGGTTATGCAGCAGATCTTCCTTTTGGAGGAATGTTTGCAGACTTTCTTTTTTAGCTTCTCGGAGAGGAAGTTGCTTTTGCTTTCCTTAAAAATACAAAGCAAGTGTAACGTCTGATTTTTAAGTGTGAGAGATAAAGTATATAGGTTTAGTAGTACTAGTAGTTTGCATTCTTCACTTTGGGGAAGAGCAAAATTATTCTGACAAGAATATTAAATATTATAAGTCTATGGCTAAGTACCATTTAAATTACTTAAATAATTTTCACCACCAGTACTATTTCTGTTTATATCCCCAAATGGTCCTGATGCAATAAAGAGCAGTAAGGATATTTCTGAGTCACTATTTATTTCTAACATATGCTTCTTTCAGGGACCATATATATTTAAAAAACAAACAAACAAAACAACAAAAAATGGCCCTAAAATATAAATATTTGGCTTCATGGTTCACAATAGCAAAAAAAATTGCTTTTGTCTAGATAGCTTGTTATTCTGCTGTTGGCTGTTTTGAATTAAGCAGATCAATTAAGGGCCAAATGTTCATTCATCTGAGGGAACAAACACTTTACAGTCTAAATGCCATAGAGATTATCGTCCTATATTTTTAATTGTCAAATTTCCTTATATAGTAGAGGTGGAATAAACTGTTTTCTTGTTTACCTTCTCAGTATTTTCAAAATGTCATTGGTTTCTTTTTATAGTGAAACATTTCTCATTGCTTTTTGTCTTTTTAAAGAAGACTTTTTCTTGTACACTTAGACCATTCATTTGAAGCAGTCAGCATTAATACCCATTATCATCACTTTGTTTTCTTAAAATGATAGTTCAGAAGTGCTCTTCAGTAAGGAGTGATCCAGCAGCTCCAAAGCTGCTCATGATAATTACAGGGAGGAGAGGAGTAACCTGATCTTGTAAACATATCCAGGCAGTGTAACTTATGATTATTTTTTAATCTGGGTCATTACCATGTCATGTGTATTCCCTGTAGGTGCTGGTAGCTTACCAGAGGTCATGGGCTGAAAAGGAAATGTGTATGCATATGTTCAGTTATTGCCTTTTATAACACTTAATGTTGTTAATAACTGCACTAAATGCTGCAAGGCAGCAGTTTCACCATGTCTTAAAATCCTCCCTCCCTTCCCCACCCACAGCTAGCTCTGGCATTGCAGAGTGGCACCTCCTCAGCTCTGCCAGCTGAGCGAAGCGTGACATTGCAAATGAGGTCAGAGAACAGATCCACCTTAAAGATGAAGAAGTGGAAAGTTTTCAGGAGGGGAACAGTTTTCAGGAGCAAGCAGTGGCAGGGGGACAGAGGAGCTGAGGCCAGTGTGGCAATACATTGCTTCATATTATGAAACCAGGTTACACAGTCCAGGCTCAGTGAAGGTAGTTGGCCAACACAGCAATTCAGTTCTGGGTACCACAGCCCATACATAAGTGTTTAAATTTCTGTGTGGAGGCTGTGTATGAAGAGAGGAGGGGATCTGAGTCACCCAGCCTGCACAGTACAAAAAGGAGTAACGCAAGCTGAAGGAGTGTGTTACCAGACCAGAACGATGTGTGTTACACGATGGGAGCCTCTTCCCAAAAACTAGATCATTGGCTTGCAAGGCTGATAAATGCCAGGACTGGGAAGAAACCAGAAAAATTGGAGGGTGGTTTGCTAATGAACATAGCCCCACCTAGGGCTGGAGTGCTGCCCTGAGAATGGGCTCCAAACTGGACTGGTGGTGCCAGAGCTGGCAGTCCTGGCCGTGGCCCACCTGCAGTCGCACGCTGGCGTCCAAGGAAGGAGGCAGATAGAAAGGCAGCCAGTTGTTAAACTCGACTAGTATTGAATTTACACTTCTACTTGGAGTGTTCTGTTGCATATATCTTTGTTGTGTTCCTTGATGCTGTAACAGGGGGAAGGCAGATGCTGGTGAAATTGCCAAATGGGGAATTTAGTCTTTTCCTGGAGGTAGCCAATCTAAGTAATGTGATGAGGAATCATAGAATTTTAGGGATTGTCATGGACCTTACAGATCACCTAGTCACAACCCACCCCTGCCATGGGCAGGGACACCAGGATGCTCAAGGCCTCATACAGCTGGCTTTGAACATTTCCAGGGTTGGGTCAGCCACCACATCCCTGGGTAACCTGCTCCAGTGTCTCACCACCCTTATAATAAAAAAATATTTCCTAATATCTAACCTAGACTTCTCCTTCAGTTTGAACCCATTACCCCTTGTCCTATCATTGCAGTTCCTAACACAGAGTCCCTCTTCAGCTCCCTTGTAGGCCCTTCAGATATTGAAAAGTTGCTATGAGGTCTCCATGCAGTCTTTTCTCCAGGCTGAACAGCCTCAGCTTCCTCATCTTGTCTTCACAAGGGAGATGCTCCAGTCCTCCATCAAGAAAGAGATGCATTGGAGGGGCTTGCACCCTGCGATGCCATCCTGGGCTGCATGGGGCACTGAGGAATGGGGGGCAGGCATTTCCTAGAGCATCTGTAGTAATGAGCTTCTGGCATCTTTGGGAAGGCACGAGGTGCTGCAGGCACTCACTGTCCCCCCTCCTGCCATCAGCTGAGAGGCACCTTATGGCTCTGTGCCAGTTCTGAAGGGTCATGGAGGGCTTTACGGGGCACCTGCTCTGGTATGCTGTGAATAACCAGAAAGGTATTTTTCCAGGCTAAGTATAAAGGAATAAAAGTACTTTGAAACTAAGGATCAGAATGTCCAAAGTTCAGTGCTTCAAGCTAAGGTGTTTGGTGGTTTGGTTTTTGGTGTTTTCTTTTTTTTTTTTCCTTGTGTAAATGAGTCATGTTCTTGTCTGCCTTACAACTGCTTGTACTGCTTTAGGTTGGTTTGTGAAATACAGCTGAGAGTAGGGATGTCTCCTGTCTGTATCTGGAAGGTATAAAGGAAGGCATGGTTACATGTATTGGATTACATGGGAGAAAGATGATCCTGCTTGAATGGAAAGATATCTTTTTTCACTCATCTAGTTTCTGGGCGAATAGTTAAGATTGCCATTGGATTTCAAAGGCTGCTTCATTACAAAGAGGGGGGAAAAATCAACCTACAAAACACCCTAAACCCGTTTTGCTTCTGGAGACCACTTTGTCTCATTAGACTTATACCCTCACTGTTTTCTGTAAACAAGCTTGTCCTAAGCTATGCTTGTTACAAAATTCTTCTGATAAGTAACTGAAGTGCTTTTTCCTTACAATAAATGTAATTTAAAAAAATTTAAAGTGGGACAATATGCTAAAGAATTTCTTTGGTTATTTTTTATTGATAGATCTGGGATAACTTGCTCATCTTCCTGTTTAAAATACTAGATTTTAATATTTGAAGCTCTGCACGTCCAGCTATCATACTTACCTATGTAACCAGTCATCACCTTACATAAAGCTGTATTCCTCTTGTGAATTACAATAGTGAATTTTTTTTGTTGACATAGTTGAGACTAGACTTAAGTTGTTATCTAGAAAAATCCAACAGAAAAACATCAGCTCTCAGATAAGTCTTCATCATTTTTGATTTGTTTTGTCACTTCTTAAATAGTTTAGAAATTAATTCCCAATTTAAGTGGAGTGAAAAAATGGAGGAGACAATGCAGCATGAATTCTTATTGGTTTTGGGTTTTTTCCATTTAAATTTACCCTGAATCAGGAGGATGAGTGGTGAGGACATTAAAAAAAAAAAGCTCTTCATCTTCTGGGATAGTTCTAGTATTGCTGACTTTAGTTCCAAGAATGTTAAAGTATCAGAGGTTTATGAAGAGTCTTGCAGCATAGCTGGGTATCATGTTCATTCTCTGCTGTGGAAAAAAAAGTGTCTTTGTTAGTGCTTAACCTTGGGTTACACATCAGCAGACAAGAACAAGAAGTGAAGTCATGTTTTCGTGAAGCCAGTCATTATTTTTTAAATATTCCCCCTGTTCACACACAGGGAACTGATTATATGGAGAAACATGTTCAAATATATCTTTGCTCAATGAGATATACCTTTATTCTTGACAAACCTGTAGAAAAAAATTATGTCGTATTATGTTGTTACTGCAATACTGTGAGATAGAGGAAAGGGTATGTGTGAGTCTCTGCCCCTCTAAAACTCTGAATAGCAGCCTGGAATTTCTGAGGTAGGTAAAGATGTTCAGAGCCTCCATGGCTCCGATAAAGGATATTTTGGAGGAAGTTGGTCTGATAAATGTTCAGATATTCCAATGTCATCGAGCAGGTCCATTTCCGTTAGGAAATCTAGTGCATATTTTTTGCATTAGGTTCTGATAAAGGAATGACAAAATATAATTTATTGTGGCTACATTTTGCACACTTTATGATAACTTTGTAGGGAAGGGATATTGTAGACTTAATGTTTTCCAACTGACAGCAATTAGTTCTGCTCCAAGACATTTTTAACTCTTCCCACATCACAGAGAGTTGAAATTTGTGGCTGTCCATGATGGTGTAAGCTACTAGAGCTCACATAGTGTGTCTGTTGTACTGAAGCAAAGATGAAACAAGTTGCTGCATTTCTCCTAAACTTCCCTGTGAGATGTTTCTCATGGGACAACCTTGCTGAGTACAATGTTAAACCAGCAAACATGTTTGTTTATTAATTTCAGTCTTTAGATCCAGTCGGTTGCCTTTTCAAATATTAGACTAGACTTCTTGTCTCCATTTCCACGGGGAAAAGGAGCCTGTGCCTCCAGTGGCCTGGTGGCTGTCATGCTTAATTGGTACAACAGGGGTTTTGTTCATTCATAGCTAGTGCAAACGAGCTATTACTACGGTAAACAAAAACTATAATTAAAAATCTGCCTGGTACAATAGGTATTGCCTGTGCGCTGGGATGTTTTTCCTTCCTTTTGACAACAATCTAAATTATGATTTTTGGAGACTGAAGAAGAAACAAAGTTGCTTTTGTTATGTTTTTTTCCACTTGGATGTGAACACTTGATAAATGGCTTTTTTGTATGACTGGAATACAAGGGTTGAAGGAAGGTTTTGTTTCACTTTAGTATTGATTTATTGAAGAAAAAAGCCCCAACAAGCAACAACCAAAGCTACAGTATTTGGTGATACAGAGGATGTTATGTATTGAACACTTATA